CAGCTGTGAGAGTTTATGAAACAAAAGTTAAAATACTACAAAAATAGGACTGGGGATTGTTGCATGGAGAAAAATTGCCTTTCCTGTGTAAAAGCAATTATTTTCACATGGTGGGATATAAACATCACTTGATTGGGTATGCTAGGTAAATACCTTTGTATGGATGACTCATTACATTTGGGTGTATTCACTGAAGAACACCTCTGAAAAGTTAGACATAATTTGATCAGGTAGTAGTCTTCCCCAGGATGCTCTAAGTGTGATTAATCAGCAACTCCTATTTTCCGTTCTTCTGATCATAAGTTGATCCTCTTTCAGTAATGATTTAAATTAAAGGAGGATAGCTCAAGGGGAAAAATAAATATCTTCCGTTTTTTGAAAATTTGTGTTACACCACTTTGCTCTTACGAGAGACCTAAGTTAATACCTGGTTTTGCTAACTGAAAGAAATCTGAAGAGGATTTTCACTTTTAGGGAAAGAAAGACAAAAAGGGAAAATTGCATTCAGCATTTATTTTGCAGTAAGCTGTTAATAGAGGCGGGATGCACCCCAGCCCCCTACCCCTGGTACAGCAATCAGCATCAAGCCACCGTAGCTTTGAACTGTCTGAGGGCATCTATACTTTCTTTATCTTGATTTATTTACTTAAGCATGCATCAGCAAGATGTGTCATAAGCTATCCGAAAAGCCTAAGAGGGGTTAATTTTGGAGTCTGGAAATACTCAAAATATTTTCTCCTTGTAAATTAATGGCAGTTGCTTTTTCGCTTTACGCCATTTTTGCTAATGAAAGGTTTCAAAGGAAGGCTCTACTTTCGGATAGTGGGGAAAACCTGTATGTGGTCTGATACTCCTATAGAAGGCAGTGGGGATTTCAGTCGGGTTTCTCAGCTGAGTCCATGATGCTTTGCAAGCTCACTGAAATTAAAACCTGTACTCGTACACCCCAGAATTGTTAGTCTCTTCAGTAATAAAGACGGGACTTAATTTTTTTATGGTCTCAATAAAACATTCAAGTAATTACATAGTTCCATTCATACATAGCAAGATGTATCACAAAGTGAGTAACAATGATTCTGGGAAGAACAGGATTAGTTAGTTGCGTCATCTCAAGGAATGAAGGGCCTGGAGAACAATACTTCTCAGAGGTCAGCCTTCCTCAGGTCAGTTTCAAATGTAAGCGATCCTACCTCGGTTCATCCGTACTCCCTGGACTTGCTCTGTACAGAAAGTTTAGATTTATTCATATTGATCTCATCCTGGTTTAGATCTCTAGGCTTTTTTTTTTGAAGATTTTGTTTATTTGTCAGATTGAGGGAGAGTGCAAGCAGGGGAGGAGCAGAGCGAAAAGGGAGAAGCAGGCTTCCCACTGAGCAGGGAAGCAGATGCAGGACTGGATCTGAGGCCCCTGGGATCATGACCTGAGCTGAAGGCAGACGCTTAACCCACTGAGCCACCCAGGCGCCCCCCTAAGTTTGTTTTGAAAAGAATTTCCTTCCTCTTTGTCCTCCTCCTATTCCTCCTCCTTGCCTTCCTTCTCCCTTGGACTCACAGATACCTAATTCTGGAGTCCCAAATATATTCTCCTCAGTTTCCCAAGAAGCCTAGGCAGCAGTTTCCAAATCAGGATTCGCTCCCCAATCCTCTGGGGGGAGCTTGTAAACACTACAGATGTCAGATTTTACTTAGGCTGATTGGAATCTTTCTAGCTACAAAAAGTGTAAGGGAAGAATAGCCAGAAACCATTCATTCATTTGTTCATTTGTTCATCCATTCAGCAATTTTTGAATGGAAAATGTGCAGCATGTGTGGCTGTGTACTAGGTGCTGAAGATCCAGATGGAAATAGAAATGAGTGTTGCCTTTAAGGGATTTACAGTCTGGTGGGAAGTAAGTGGGAAAGCTGAATAGGTAAAGAAAGGTGCTGAGGCACAAAAGGAGAACTTAATTCTGCTTACGGGACTTGAAGCAGGTAGTCGGGGACAGGAGTTTCCTGGGCAGAGAAGGACATTCAAAGTAGAACTAGGTTATGCGAAGGTATGGAGATGTGAGAGAGGTTAGCAAGTACTGGAAACTGCATGTAGTTCCTCATGTGTGTATGAGAAAACAAGAAGTAAAAGTTGTCGGTGGTAAAGGAGCAACACAAGAAAATTTCCCAGAACTGAAAGACACGAGTTCACTGAGAGCACAGGCTGAGAGAGTTCACTGAATGTCCTACCAGTAAATGGGAGACTCTCCTCAACATGTGCTGTCGATTTCAGCTTCCGGAAGTGAATACAGGGTCCTAAAAGCTTTCAGAGAAGAAGTAATAGTATAAAAAGGATTAGTTACCAGAGCACAGTCAGGCTGCTTTGCAGCTGCATTAGAGACTAGAAGACTATGAAGGAATACTTTTGAAGTTATTTCCTACCTGGAATTGCAGAGCCAGCCAGGGTACCAATGAAGACATTTAAAGACACACAGATTTAAAAAAAAAAAAAAATTGCATTCTGGATACTCTATTAGGTTGTTAATGGGAGATGTACACTGTTCAAACAAGGGAATAAACCAAAAAAGGAAAAGCAGGGGATTCAAGGACGGGGGTTCTCACAGAGAGGATGAAGGAAATTTGGGGATGATGGTGAAGGGAAATTCCAGTCCAAGTCAGGCCTATATAGCAACCATTCAGCCAGATTGAATCCAGATGAAGAGTACAGGAGGAATGTCTCTGAAAAAACAATAGAACATTCTCCCCCAAATTACCAGACATTTTCATTTTGTTAGAAGAGGTTTGCAGTTCTTGGGAGAATTTGATGCAGTGCATACGTGCTAAGCAAACAACAAAAATGGAGCAATTAATAACTCTAGGAGAAACAAAAAGTTATCCAAGAAAGGAAAAAATCATTGAATCCCACATAGCAGTCCTGAGAATATTTACTTTGTCTACAGTAGTCAGACTACTGACTATTGATTTAACTAAATGTTAAAATATATTTGGAAGTTGGGAGGATTGGCAAGTGTGGCGTATTTCTATGCAGGAATAAAGGAGATTTATGAAAACTAAATCCTTTTCTTCCACAGGGAGAAGTTAATAGGTAATATCTGAAATGGAACAATGGAGAAATAGCAATATGAACACATTTTGTAGAAATATAGAGGTAAATAGCAGAAGAAAATGCTAAAGTAGTTGAAATTCGTTCCCTCTGGAGAGAGAATTGGGTGTGGGGAGGGGTGGAGGAGAGTTTTATTTTTTATTATAGGCTTTGTAGTCCTATTTTATTTTTATACTTTGATAACATTAAAATAACAATATAGACCTCGCATCAGTAACACGCAGGGAATCTTGCAAGTGGTGCTTCAGATTTTGTTGAACCACCTTTGTAGCTTGCATATTCTTTTTACCTACCTTTGGCACATTCCTAAATTTTATCCAAACTTTCTTCTTTTCTATAACTAACTGATATGAATTGAAGCAAAAGTTAATAAGGTAAATTGTTGACTCACACGTGTATAGACTAAAGCTGGATGCGGTAGGTTTTTTTGCCCTGTATTTTTATGTAGACCATAAGCTAGCTTTTAAACTTAAAGTGGAAAAAAACAAACAAACAAAAAACCAATCCTCTCTCTTGTCTTCTCCAAGGGGTAGAGCAGAGTTTGACTTCGTGTAGGGAATCAGCATTCTTGGGGCATTTGGCTCGCTCAGTAGATACAGCATGTGACTCTTGATCTTGGGGCTGTGAGTTCAAACCCCACATTAGCCATAGAGCTTACTTTAAAAAAAAAAGGGAAGAAAAAAAGAAGGAAAAAGAAATCAGCATTCCTCAGTGACCTGATGTTCCAAAAATGGGGCTGCTAGTTAGCTGCACGTTAAGATCTCTGAGCCGACTGTGTACAGCACTCAACAGAGCTTCAATTTGTTTATGAAGAAAATTTGTCCATTTATATGGATACAAACTGCCCCTCCACCTTTTTGTTTTGAAAATAATCAAACCCCACAGAGAATGGAAAGAGTAGTGAAGCACTCCTATAACTTTTGCCTAGATTCGTGAGTTCTTAACATTTTGCCGCATTTGCTACCCATGCACTGTTTTTGAAGGTGGGGGGGAAGGTTGTACCATTTTAAATCAAGTTGTAGGTATAATGCTTAAATATGCCTCCCAGTAGTCTCCAAAAAACAAGAACATCCTCCTACCAGACCAGAATACCATTATTATGCATGGATAAGATAATAGCACCTAATATATAGTTAGTATTCAAGTTTTCCTCAAATCCCAATAATATTTTCTGTAGATTTTGTTTTTTGATGCCAATATCCAGTCGGTGGTCAGTTACTGCATTTGGTCCTCATGTTTATTTATGTCTCCTTATGAAATTTTTCTGCCTTTTTTTTTTTTTTTTAATCTTTCCTGACATTGACAGTGATGAGGACCCAGGCTTGTTGTTTTTGCATGTGTATGTTTTTGTCTCTTTGCTCCCTCATTGTGAGAATCTGGTTTACAATTTAGCAAGAACATGTGTGCAGACTTTTGTCATCCACCTGCTTCATATACAGGTTCAAGATTTTAGTCCATTGTTTTCTTGTTTGTAGGTTTTTGTTTTGTTTTTCCTGCTCATCTGTGGTTTGGCATGGGGTGTAAAGAATGACCACTTATCTGGATAATAGTAAAACTCCTTAGTCTGCAGAAAATATCACTGTAATAATCTCGGGGAGGGGTAATCTGTTCCTCTGGAGACAAACATAATATTTTTTTTTTTTTTAAAACATTCTTGGCAGAATTCTTTGGATGACTTAATATATTGTAATCAAGGGCAAATTTTCTCCTCTTTAATTAAGTTCTGCTACAGTATACAGTCCAGGGAGCCACTTGTGGCAAACACTCGGCCTGCTTTTCAGTCATCCCTCCGCGGAACGTTTGCTTTTGGAATAGACGCCCTGAACGTGTGTTGAGTTTGCAGCATTTTGGCCCTCCCTGTGCCGGGATGCCCGGCCGCTTAGGTTATGTATATTTTGCGTGAAGTGAGCACAACGTGGAGAGACGCCGTGCCTCGGATACCAGGAGAGCTGTGCAAGCTTGCTGCCGAAAGCATGCCTCCCGTCTGTCAGGGCTTTGTGATAGACCTGGTGACACAGTAGCCTTTCGCCAGAGCTCCTGGGGATGTGCAGGAAGTACCGTGACGGGTTTTGTCAGGGGGGAAATCTGAGCCATTTCTCTGCGAACAGCTGGGTTTCAGAGTCTGGACAAGTGGCCGTTGACTTTTGCACGGGCTGCCAGGGTAAGGGTTTTTCATTTTGATTTGTTCATAGCCTTGCTTTCCTTTCTCCTAAGTCATCAGGGCTCTTTCTGGAAGTTTCGCGGCGCTTGTTACACATTAAAGTGGGATTCAGAGGATTGGTTCTAATATGTTTATGATCCAACTTTTCTTTCACTTTGTCTCCGCAGATTTTGTGGGAGTCTAATCCTTTGTCATTATGAGATGTCGTCTCTCGGTGCCTCCTTTGTGCAAATTAAATTTGATGACTTGCAGTTTTTTGAAAACTGCGGTGGAGGAAGTTTTGGGAGTGTATATCGAGCCAGATGGATATCCCAGGACAAGGAGGTGGCTGTGAAGAAGCTGCTCAAAATAGAGAAAGAGGTAAGGTCTTCTTCTGCTGTCAGAATGGTCGCGATGGCACTTACGTAAGCTGTTCAACCCCAGTCAGAGGTCACGGGCTGTCGGGGACCTCTCAAGCCAGGCCTTTGGGGCTGATCCACGAAGCTGTTTCCCAATTCCATTCTGGGAGCCCCATAAATAGAAATCCCTGCCACGTGTGCTTTAGGGTTGAGTTCTCCTAGGGGTCATCTGAACTGAGAGGATTTGTTTCCACAGCATGAAAGACCGAATGTTCTCTGGGCTCTCCTTGAGGGGAAGATGAGGTTTCAAACCTTCCGAGGCTTCAGGCTTTGCCTTTTCCCAGGTCAGCCGAGAGGGGTCAGTAAAGAGTAATGTGTGAACATTTTTACTCCTTTTCTATTTTGGGTTTTGTGAATTTGTGGCCATCAGGAGTTGTCTTTTAAAAAATGAAAAGCGTTATTTTTCTACTGAAATACAAATAATACTAGCTTCTTGGATTTCACCTCTACTTGGACTTCGTCTTAATAAAGAATTAACAGGTGCTAGACAAACAGCTGCCCTATTTGTAAAATCAGAAAGGAGCCTTGGCTTCCCGAGTCTGGCACTTGTGCTGGTTCCGGGGGAGCACGCGACTCCTACTAAGGCCCTTCCTCTTCCTTAGGAATAACACGCAGCGTAGTCCCGGGGTCCCCAGTGTAGTACCTGGAGAATAAAGCTAATTGTGGAGCTGACCTGCAGGGGCTCAGTGGCATTCGCAGCTTTTACCCTCTGGAGCTAGTTTTGGTCATATCTATTTATGTCCTGTTTTGGCTAATTATTGTGGTGGGTTTTTGTTTTTTTTTTTTTATCCCCCCAGTGTCTTTTTAAAGGGAACTTTGCCATAAATATCTTTTAATCTCCCCTGAATGATTTCATTTTTGTTTTTCCCCATTAACTGCTGTCAGTGAACCACAGCAGTTGATTAGAGAATGGGGCCTGAAAGGCAACCTTTGTGGTGTTTCCTCCCAGCAGGGCTGTGTGACTCTGGTCACCAGCTCGGCTTCCAATTTGTTGAAGCCAGGTGAGCAGGACTAAGATCTTTCTGCCTGAGGGTACCTGTAGGTTGTGGAAAGCATTAAAGAGCGATAGCTTTTCATGACAGTGTGTATACAAAACAGACCGGTGCTATGTAGAAAAAGTTTCCTCCCCTTTATTTCTCCATGAACACATTTTAAAATAGTAGCCACATAGTAAAACCATTTCTTACTCTGGACAGAGCCTAGCTGCTTTTATCTAGTGAACTCTTATGTCCTTTACAGGCAAGCATTATTGTACCCATTTTCTAGATGGGGAAGTAGAGATCTGGAAAATGTATTAAGGTACCTCAGGAGGGGCAAGTAAAATCCAAGAGATCAGATCTCCTGTTCTGTAGTTCTGAACTCTGAAATCTGTAGTTGACAAGATTAAATAGAAAATAAACCAATTCCATCAAATTTATATTTAGAATATTTAAACCTGCTAATGTTTGTAAGCATTAGGTCATGCAGCTTCTGTACAAGCATGTTCTTAGATGATTGTTGGGTGTGAGAAAGACCTTTGAGTCCAAGAGCAGATTTTGCCAGGAAAACAGTAATTGCAGCCTACTCACTCCACCCCCACACCCTATACATAATATCATTTATTATTTTATTTTATTTTTTTACTATCTTTAAGAAAGCAGGAAAATGACATAGGAAAGCACGGGGGCGAGGAAGCAGGAATTGGAAACGCCCAAGTCCGGCTCTTATGTAGGTATTTAACCTAGATGGGTTATCATTCAGAAATTGAGTTGATTTACAGTGATATAAATACAGCTTTGGGGGCTTGGTTTGTCAGTGACTGTCAGCGAAAAGGAGACGGGGTGAATTACGCAGAGCATCCTCCAACTTACTGAGTCAACATGCGTTTGAGATAGAAAACATTTTGGCCAGGGCTTGGCAGTTATTGGGAAAGGCAATGTGCATTTCTTAGGTTGATTTTTGTTATGCTTTATGAGCTATGGGTGGGCTTGCCGGCTAGGCGTTTTCTAAGTAAGGTAAAAGTAGTAAGCTCTGGATTTTTTTCCGATGTGTAGATTCAGTTTTATGTTACTTGATCACTTTTGCCAAGAAGCAGTGGGATGCTTAATAACATGTTTGTAGCTCACTCATGGAACTCTTAAGAGGGACCTGATACTGGATTATGTTTTATGAACTTAGTGATGAAAGGTAGGTGGAGAAAATATTTACCAAACTCTTGAACTTCACATATGTGGGAGGAAAGAAGACCTTCTATTTTGACTTTTTTGTAGACCTCTAATTTAGGATGTGTTACTTTTCTCTGCGTTAGTGAATATTTATTAATTTTTTAATTTAGAAGAAAAGAAAAATTGAATTTATTTAAAATCTGTGTAGTTTTTTAAAATTTAATTTTTAAAAGATTTTATACCTAGGGAATAACTATAAGAATGGTACTGTGAATTCTAGCATTCCCCTGGAATCACCACTTATTAACATTTTCAACATTTGCTCTCTCTTTATTTATTATATTAATTTATATGTATTCATACATATTTATTTATTTTGAGAGAAATTGAAAGAGAAAGGGAAAGAATGGGAAGAGGGCAAAAGGAGAGAATCTTCAGACTCCCTGCTGAGCGTGGAGCCCGGTGCAGGAAGCTTCTCAGGACCCTGAGACCATGACCTGAGCTGAGACCAAGAGTCAGACGCTTAACTGACTAAGTCACCTAGGCGCCCCCATATTCATCTATATTTTATTGAACCATGAGATAAATCACAGATACTAGGTACATTTATCCCTAAACACTTGAGCGTCTCCCAAGAATGCAACTGTAGCACAACTATCCAATTAGAAAATTTAATACTAATGCAATAATATTACCTGTCCTACAGTCTGTATTCAAATTTTGTGGACTGTCCCAGTGAGGACTTTCTAATGGCAGTTTTTTTCAACCCAGGATCCAGTCAGGATCACGTATTGCACTTCAATGGTATACCTGTTTAATCTGCTTTAACTGGGCGGTTTCTCTGCTCTTCTTTGTCTTTTAAAATTTGACATTTTTGAAGAGTGCAGGACAGTTAATGTAGAATGTCCCTCATTTTGGGTTTATCTGATTTTCCCTTCCTCTTGCCTAGTTTAAGGTTATGTAGTTTTGGTAGGAATACTTCAGAGGTCATATGCCCTTGGCATATTTTAATGGGAGACTCTGATGTCAGTTTGTCTTGTTACTGGTGATGCTAATTTTGAACCCTCGACTAAGAGGGGTTCACCCAAATTCTCTACAGAAAAAAAATACCCTTTTTCCCTTTGTAATTAATAATTAAGCCTTTGAAAGATACTCTGAGGTTATGTAAGTATCTTCTCTCAACAAAAGTTACCCAATGTTTTGAGCATCTGTTGGCAACTCTTGTTTGAATCAGATGTTATTATGACCATTAACTGCGTAGACAGCAAAAAGTTCTAGCATAAATGAGAGCCTTCCTTTCTTCACTTACTTATTTACCTGCTCATTCACCGATTGTCTTATTATAGACTCTGGATTCTTTTTCAAATTCAAAATGTTATATCGTATTACATTGTTTCTCACTTTCATGCTGAAAATGTCCCAATGCAAGAGTCCCTTCAAGTTAGTTCCCTTGTCTTTTGGTGTCTCCATCACTTTTTAGCATTTTCTTACTTCCTTGCACAAGAAGATGTTCCAGGCTGATCTAGTTCCTGCTTGATTACTGGAATCAGTCATTTCTTCAAGAAACCTTGGTTCTGGGTACCTGATTTGGGACTCTGATATTTAGAAACCAAGATTTGGATACAAGTTTTATTTATTATAGACTTAATTTTATTTTTTTATTTTTTAAGGATTTTATTTATTTATTTGACAGAGAAAGATCACAATAGGCAGAGAGGCAAGCGGCGGGGCGGGGGGGGAAGCAGGCTCCCCACTGAGCAGGGACCCCCCCCCCCCATGTGGGGCTTGATCCCAGCATCCTGGGATCATGATCTGAGCTGAAGGCAGAGGCTTAACCCACTGAGCTGCGCTCCAAGTAGATTTACTTTTAAAAAAGAGCTGGGGTGTCCTGGTGGCTCTGTCTGGTTAAACCTCTGCCTTCGGCTCAGGTCATGATCCTAGGGTCCAGGGATCAGCCCTGCATTGGGTTCCCTGTTCAGTAAGAAGCCTGCTTCTCCCTCTCCCACTCCTCTGGCTTATGTTCCCTCTCTCGCTGGTGCTCTATCAAATAAATAAAATCTTAAAAAAAAAAAAAAAAAGAGCCTTTGGGGGTGCCTGTGTGGCACAGTTGGTTGAGCGTCCACCTCTTGGTTCCTGATGAGGTCATGATCTCAGGGTGGTGAGATCGAGCCCCATGTCGGGCTCTGTGCTCAGCGCAGAGTCTGCTTTAAATTCTCTCTCCTTCCTCTGCCCCTCCCCGCCCCTCACTTTCTCTCTTTCTCTCAGAAGGTGAATAAATCTTAAACAGTAAATAAATAAAGAGCCTTTGTACTTTGGGAGAAAGAATGGTTATAGATAAATTTTACTTCTGGAAGCATTTAATTTAAACATTAATATCATCCATATGGCTAGCTATGATCTGCAATATGCTCCTGTTAGGGATGTAAATTGGTAAACTTCTAGGAAAGAGATTAGCAAAACATATAAAAAATCTTAAAATATTTACTGTCTTTGAGCCAGAAATTTTATTTCTATGACTTCATCCTAAGGAAATAATCAGAGATGCGCAGAAAGATGGAGATAATAGGCTGCTCATCTCAGGTGGTTAATGGTGAAGAACTGGAAAAAGCCCAAGTGTTCTATAACAACTTGTCTTTTAAATTATGCTACTTCTCAAACACACACCAAAGGCAAATATGGGGGGGATGATGCATATGTTATTTCCGTTGTGTGAATCCTTTCACAATATATGCATATAGTAAAATCATCATGTTTTATACTTTTAAAATATTACAATTTTATTTGTTGATTATACCTCACTAAAGCTGAAAAAATTATT